TACGTATTTGGTGTATGTATTGGTGGGGTTTGCTGATGGAGTCTGTAAGAATTGGGGTGCTGTGAGTGGTATGTAATGTTGTATAAGTTGCAATGTAAGAATTGTATTGATGGGTTGATGTTGTTATGTGATGTGAAAATTAGGATTGGGAGAGGAGAAATGGGCTGAAACGAAAGGGCTAGAGGATTTTAAAAAAATAGCCAAATTTCTTTTAGATTGTGGTCAAAATAGACTTAGATATATTGCCAAATCAAATTAACTAGTGAATTCGGCTAAAAGTTAAATAAGACGAATTAATATTAAGTAATTAATGAATTTCTTAATCTTAACAAAATAAAATCATTAACTTAATTATAAACGAGAAATAATCTACAGTCACAAAGATGTACGTCATCCCTCCTTTGTTTTAAATCTTTATAGGTCCACATAAGTCCATGTGAAGTAATTCAAGAGGCCTGGTGGTACTTACTTGCTTCTTTTGTTTGGAAAATGACCTGGTTTATTTGCTTTTGACACATGCATCACAAGCTTTGTCATCTGCAAATTTAATTTTTTGAATCCCTCGGATCAGTCCTTTGAGATCAATTTGTTAAAAAGTGAGATGCCAACATGTCTAAGTCAGTGGCGGAGTTAGGAATTTCGTCAAGGGTGTTCAAAATTTAAGGAGTGAACAATTTTTTTTAGCTGAGTGGGTGCATAATTTTCTTAGTTGAATTATACTCCCTCTAGTCCATATTAATTAAGTGAATTATTGAAATTCTTTTCATAGTTCAAAATAAATGAATTATTCAAAGTTCAAGAAAATTATTGAAACTTTTTTATGTTTACCGTACTTTTGATGAGATCTTAATATTTTAAGAATTTCAAAAGAATAATAATAAAAAATAGCTTTTAATTTTTATACTTAAAGAATGTGTCATATTTCAATAATTTACTTATCTATATGGACTAGAGGGAATATAAAGAAGCAATACATTTTCTCAAAAAATTTAATAGGTATAAATTGGGTGAAGAGGTGTGAATCCTTTATTACATTAATAATAAATGATAAATGATAAATTTATTGAATGAAAACAATAGAAAGATACGGGGCACTGTTTAAGAAAATTGATCTAAAAGATTGTTAAAAAAAAATAAAACGGAAAAGGGCCTCAAAATGTCCCTCAACTATTTGAATTGGTACAAAACTACCCTTCATCCATCTTTCGGTCACCAAATACTCCTGACGTCAATCTTTTGGCTAAAAAATACGCTTGATATTAATATACAAAAAAGTGATATTTGTAGTCCATCTATACCATGTAATCGAAATAGTCTTTAACGTATGAAAAAAGTGATTGTTTTAGTAATAAACCTTGAAAGTAATTGTGCAAGTGAAAAAAAACTTGATAATTTCAATTAGTAACTCACGTGAGTTGGATACAAACATTAAAAAAAAAGACCAACTTTTTTTTTTTACCTTTAATGAGAACTCACCCAATAGTCAATATATTGTTTTGCCTTTGAAACTATAACTCAAATGTTAAGTCTTGCTGCAAGAACAAAACTATGTTATAAGAAATGCGATAATCATGTACACTTCATTGTTCCAGGCGCACATGGTGGTAGTAGGTGGAGAATAGTCGCTTTTTCCGTACATCAAAGATTTCGATTACATAAGAATACAAAAATAAACCCGATTAAGGGTGAAATGAATAAAATTGAGTGTAATACAACTTTTAATATATCTTTTTCTTTTTTTTTATAAAATTGACCGTGAAAACACTTTAAAAGAGGTATGTTTTAATTGAAATTGTATCTATAATATTGGTGTAGATATGTTTTAAGTAGATTGATCAAATAAAATTAATATATTTTCAAAATACTATGTTTTACAGTATTTCAGAAACAAATTATTTTAAAAAATAAATAGTGTTTTGTTTTCTTTTTATCTCACTTTTTTTAATCTGATCAATTTATACAGCGTATTTTGCATTCTAAAATTCTAAAGTATATGATTTTGATGAGTATTTTAATATATTTAATTTATTTTTTTATAATTTTTAATATTTTTCATGTATCATTTTGAAATATTTGATTTTTGTTTTTTAAAAACTATGTTAATCTAATGTTACTTATTTTTAAAAATTAATCAAATTAGCTAGGCCAAAGTTTAATGAAAAGTGTATACAGAATACTCCAATCCAAGCACTTTGAATGGTTCGTGGACAACGTACACGCCGGTAATAGCTTACACGCAAAGAGAGTTTGTACCTTTCTCTCTCTTATTTTAATTTTCATGACCCTTAGCTTTAGACCTTCGAATAAAAGTATCATTTCTACCGATAAAGGATGTGATGTATTGGATGGTTTAAATGGTGTTTTGTACGATATAAATTTGGGTTAGTCAGACTTTTAACATTTTATTTGGATGGTTGTTACATATTGTTTTATGATATATTATATTATATTGGGTTGTATTATATCATATTGTATTGTTTTAATAAATATAATAGTTGGATAGATTATATTATTCTCCGTCGTTATATAATATCATACATTTATAATTTGAATAATAAACTTACGAAAAAGCTGGGTACCAAGCAGAGCTACTATGAAAAAGTAGGTTAAAAGATAAAATATAATTATTAAATAATAAATAAAATAAAATGAGAAGAAAATAATAAGGCAACGACGCGATCACACCAAATCGATCGTTACCCAGAGGCGGACCCACCTTTATGAGTGGGAATATGCACCCGTTACTTTCAGAAAAAAAATCATGTGTGTATATGTATAACTATCTTGAGAAATTGACAGAAACTATGATATAATTAACGGTGTACTCATGAAGAGCACCGAGTGTTCTTGTGCCACTAGTTCAAGGCAAAGGATCAGAATTTGTATTTAAACTAATAATACAATATAATACGACAGGTAACAACCATCCAAACAAGATGTAATGTGGATATCAAACATGGATGTATTCTAAGATATATACGTATTTTCATTTATTTTTTCTTGTCAACGCCTCTGTATATATACAGAAGTTGGGTATCTTCTACAACTGTTCCTTTTTATCTTCAATCTTCTTTCACTGGACGCCTCTCATAATTATCATACAATTTTTTTGAATTTTTTTTTCCGATTAATTATAGATTTGAAGCAAAATCAACAATCAATCTCGTAAGGACAAACGCTAGGCCAACTCCAATTTCATCTTGGATTGTAATTTCGTGCCCCCTTTAATTATTTGTATTTTGGGGAATTTTTTTTTCTTGACCTAACTTGATCATATATAATATGCCCTTTTGATTATATGCAGATCTATATGTATCTAACTACTTTGTAATGATCGTGAATCTATAAAGTCACAATCTTTTTTATCTAATGATATTCTTTAATTGTAAATATTTGGAATTTATTAAATTATTCTTAGCAATTAACAGTGATATTATCTGCTGGGGTTGGGGTTTGGAGGCTTAAAAAAATTTCAATATCATCTTTTGTTTGCAAAATTAATGGATCAATGTAAAATATGCTTTACTTGATTTGCTACAGAATTTGATCTTTGAGGGAATTATTAACATGGTATGCTTTATTTTTCATTTTGGGGATTTTAGATGGTGGTTTATGGTTGAAAATGCGTTCATATTTCGGTGTACTTGCTGTTTGTCAGTAATCTGATGAAATCAAATTAAATGTTATCTTGCATCTGTGCATAATGTTTGTTCTGGGCTATAGTTTTCATAAATCCCGGTGAAAATGATCCCTATTATAACTATCTAATTCACTAAGTTACCGTCGTTTTTCATAAAATCTACTTCTCAATCATCGTTAATGTGAGTCCTGCCAAACGTTTTCTTTCCTGCTCTGTATTTTACAAGAACATCATACACATTACCATCATTTTTTCATACTTAACTGCAGGTTTTAGGACTCCTGGCTGATTGTGGCTAAGATATAGACTAGTACTGCATTGTATTCAACACTTATGCTCAAGATTTCTAGGACTGTCACCAATGAAAATTAATACTGCTCGTGAAGGTTTATCATTAATTGCACTGTAGAGTGGCACAAGGATCCTGTAGTATTTCATTCAATAGTACTTACAACGTTGCAAGAATCAGAAGAACCACTAGAAGAGACTTGGTATATTTCTTGGTGAGTATGCTTACCGGAAATCGTAGATATGGTTTTTTTGGTTTATTTTGTCTCCAGAAGCGTCATGATAAATTTTTTAATCTTACCTGTCTTGCTTATGGATGTGAATTTGGAGATATCAATCTCTGGTTCATGTATCCCTTCATTTGAGAGCACACATTGATGCATTCTTCTATTTGTTGGGATCTGGTCCCAATGTAAACTTGTAAATTTTCTGACTATTACTGTTTGATGTTAGTGGTTTGTGGGAAGGCATGATAACTTAATCATGTACGATGCCAAAATGCAATCTATTTCCTCAACAAGAAAAGAAAATAATGAGATGGCAAAAAACTATGTTGCTCGGACAGTCCGACTATGCTGCCATACTCGTGTCGGACCCTCCAGAAATGCACTCTGTTGGAGGATCCGACACACTCACGTTGGCGTTTTCAAAGATTCCGTGCAACACAGAAAAAATAAGTTTGGTAGATTTGGAAGAGAAATAGAATGAGTACTTCTGATAAGATGACAATTATGCACTACATTTATCTTTTGGCATGCATGAGATAGTTTTTCATGTTCGCTAGTGTCCTGCAGACACCGTAGAATGAAGTAGCTTTTCTTTTAAACCTTAAAATACACACTGGTACAACACTTGAGTTATATGGATTGATGGATGATCCTATACTCTAACTCAGTTGAAATACTGTGGATGTACTATCTTTGTTTCTGTTGCAGGTTCAAAGATTTTAAGGAATTGGTAATGTTTATCATATCGTGACTTCCTTTTCTTACCTTCAGTTTAGACAATAGTAGCGCCAAAGATGCTAAATTTTCATATGAAAGAACAATGTGGGAAAAGAAACTTTGAAATATCGGTGCATGTAGAACTTGTTGGAAACTACAAATCTGTTAGACACATGGTACTAGCACTACAGATCATGTATATTCCCGAACTTGGTTTTGTTATCTAGATGTAGTTGTTAGAAGCAATAGCCAAGTTAATGAGTGCTTATAGGTCTAAATGTATCAGAGGAGACATAACGGATGTGTTTGGTATGATGGAAAATGTTTTCCTAGAAAATATTTTCTTGGAAAACAAGTGGATTTCTTACTTATTTTCTAGTAAGCAAAAAAATATTATCTCAAGAGCATTTATATGTACTCTGGAAACCACTATGAGGGTGGGACGGTGTGGGGAGTGGGTGTTTGGGGGTGGCGGAGGGTGGGATGGTCAAGGGGTGGGGGTTGGAGGTGTTGAGTGGGTGGGCTGGGTGGGGAGAAGACAATTAACTTGGAATGCCACTTATGCAACTTGTTTTCCCTTTTTCCTCATTTTTAAGGTACTTATTATCCTAGAGAAAATATTTTCAAACATTTTGACCGACCAGACATGAGAAAATTGAAAAATGTTTTCCTCCATAGCAAACACACTCGAAAGAGCCTCCTTGTTGTTGGATAGTTAGTTTAGGATCATGAATCTTCCCTATGTTCTTAACATGTATCAACATTCATGTGCCCTGCTATTTCTTTTCTCTTTTGATGTGTGTTGTGATAGCGAGTGTGTAATGTTATATATATTGCCCGGTTTGTTGGTATGGAAGAGAATGTTTGTGAATTGACGGGTTGTGGTATATTTGACATTACATGGCTTAATCAACTGAGCTTCTTCTCATAGTTCAGGATGCTTTTCTCTCAGCCTCAAACTCATATAAAGATTCTTTCTTTAGGGCCTCCTTTCACCTTTTCTTAGCTATGGTTTAAACAAATTACATCAGTGTTTTTGTTTCTTCTGGCTATGTTATCCACCTCAGCAAAGGCTCCTAGTCGAAGTATAATAGCATGGAGGGTGCAAGGGTGGAGGTCAATTCAGAAAAGGAGAATATAAAAGAAGCTACACCTAGCAGCCCTTTACTAGTAAGGGAAGTGTGTAAGAACCTTAGATAGTGCAAGTCAATCCTCCCAGCACCCCGGAATAATTATATCGTAAATGTAGAGCAGGAAGGCTGCAGCTCTATCATATTGGATGTTTGCTTCTTATCGAAGAACATTGCTTGTGATCGATAGGTTCATTAGTTTGTACAATCTTGTCAATGATATAATTTTATAACTTGAGGAGTCGTGGTATTTAAACAGTTTGTTTGCTGTTTGTCATACTACAAAATGTGCTGTTTCCATATTGCTAGCTGTTGCATTGATCTGAATCATCTGATGGTTCCATTGTTTTTTAGTAACACTTTATAGTGTACGTAGATGGCTAGTAGGAAACGAAGCATGTCAAATGATGTAGATATGCATGTCCTGTACAAGGAATTGGATGGAGCTTCATGCCCTATATGCATGGATCATCCACACAATGCTGTTCTTCTCCTTTGTAGCTCTCATGATAAGGGATGCCGGTCATACATTTGTGATACAAGTTATAGGCATTCAAATTGTCTGGATCGTTTCAAAAAAACTCAAAGCCGAAAATAGGGACAATCCTCCCATTATGATACAGGGGAACCTGGATATTGCTGTTGAGACACCCGCTGAACACTTGGAGCTGAGAAATTTAAGTGATCGTACTGTTGTTCACGGATATCACGATATACCTGCCAATGAAGTTGTAGCAACTGGTGCATTTCCTGGTGGATCAGAAGAAAATGGAAATAGTAACAGAGATAATCGCATGGAGATGCAGGAAGGTGGTCTACAGACTTCAGATGCTGTTACTGTATGGGGAAGTAGTCATGAAACAGCGAATGCAGACAACTCATCTGACTCAATATTGAAATTGAAGTGTCCTATGTGCCGTGGAGACGTTTTAGGTTGGAAGGTAGTGGAAGAAGCCAGAAAGTATCTAAATTTGAAGCATAGAAGTTGCTCTCGTGAATCATGTTCATTCCTCGGTAACTACAGAGAATTGCGCCGGCATGCTAGGAGAGATCACCCAACAGCACGCCCTGCTGATATTGACCCTTCAAGACAGCGAGCTTGGAGACGGCTTGAGAATCAGAGAGAGTACGATGACATTGTCAGTGCTGTTCGCTCTGCCATGCCTGGTGCAGTTGTGTTTGGAGATTATGTGATTGAGAATGGCGACAGGCTATCTGGCGAAAGGGAACGCGGCTCAGGCGCAAACGGAAGATGGTTGAGTACCTTTTTCTTGTTTCAGATGATTGGCTCAATGGATCCAATATCTGAAGCAAGAGGTGGCAGGTCAAGAGCTTTGTCAAGGCACCGCCGATCCACTGGACCTCTATCTAGGCGCCGGTATCCTTGGGGTGAAAACCTACTTGGTCTACAAGACCACGACAATAATGAAGATGAGGGTGAACCTGATCTTAACATATTGAGTGGTGATATGTCTAATAATCCAAGAAGGCGCAGGCGGTTGATGCGGTCTAGGTCAGATGAAGATCAGCAGTAAGACCCCCTAATTCATGGGATTGTATTAATGGTCTGTACAGGAGGGGACTGTTTACACTAAGATCAATTGGAAGTTTCTTGTGTTCCACTTTGCTACAGAAAGATAAGAGTGCAATTCTTAACAAAATTTAGAAACTTGTGTGTTGGATATAATAATTTAAAGGGTGAAAACAGGTTGTCCCTGTGATTGTGGGTGGTAGCTTTAGAATGTAAAATTTCATTTGGTCTTTGATTTCCTAACTCTGAAACATTGTTCATCTTATATTGTATTTTCATCAGTGTATTTCTTTATGCTTTGATTATCTTTGCCAAGAAAGAGAAGATAAAGGAAGTAGTTAGTGAAATTGCATCTAGTCAAGCATCCAATATTCCAATCTTTATACTTGACAATTCTTTTCTTTAACAATCGGATATTCAATAATAATGTTCATATAGATGCTAAGTAATGCACCATTTAAGGTGATGCATGACAATATACTTTGTTTCAAAATATTACTTATTTTAGAAAAAAAAAATTACTTATTACGTTTTTTACCTACCTTTATTGTTTCAATTAATATATTGTTAATTAAGTGAACCAATTAAAAGGATATAGGGACTATAAGATAGAATAGTAAATATTTATGATTGAAGTTATTAAATGTATTTTTCTCGTGACAACATCTTTTATATTCATTAAAAGGACTATTTATTTAAAATAATTAAGAGAAAAATTCACAAACCACGACACTTTGGGGTTTAATAACTAAACTTAGCTATACTTTTCATGATATCTACTAAACCGTGCGACACTTGCTCACCTCCCTCTCTTGCTCGTCTTTCTCCTTTCTCCTTTCTCGCTCTCCTCTTTGCTTCTCTTGTTCCTCTCCCTTTGTGTTTTTGTGTATCACTCCTTCTCTTGACTCTTGTTCCTCTCCCTTTGTGTATCTCTCCTTCTCTAATCATTCTCGTCTGTGTATCATGCCTTCTCTCGTCCCTCTCTCTCTTTGTACAACTATGTATCATGCACATGTAGAGTTCACCAACATAGATACATGATGCCTTACATATGTATCTGTTATATAAATGTTTGAATTCCTCAAGAAAAAGAGAAGATTTAAAAGTGAAAAGAGTGATACAATTTGTATTTATGATACAGGTTACTTTACTTCTTTTTTTTTGGCAACCAATATAAATATATTATTACCATTAATAAAAGCCACTTACAAACTAAGAACATGCAAACCTCATTAGCTCTAAAGGTATAGTGAGGAATGGCGTTCAGCAACACCAACATCTGATTACATAATTTCTGCCAAAAACTTCTACATCTATGTGCTCTTTTTGTATTCTTGTACATTTCTATCCTCTCTACAATTTCTTTAGTTACTTTCCCCATTATGTCTGTGTGAAGTATTTGTACTCCTTTAAATTGCTTCCAGTTTCTTGCTTTCGAAATGTGATACACCATAGCTCCTCATTTAGCTGCCACCGTTTTCTTCTTAAATTTCTTCCAATGCTTCAGTTACGTTTATTCAGCTCCAATGTAGGTTTCAGGTCTTTTGTAGGCATTGAGATATTGGCCCATTGTAATAGTTCATCTCTCACCCTTGCAGCTAAGGCTAGCAACGGAACCGGGAGGTACCGGTACCGATTCCGGTCCGTTACCGGTACCGTCTCGGTTCCGGATAGTACCGGTTCGATCCGGTATTGTGCCGGTCCGGGAGGGGTAACGGGATGGAAACCGGGATTTACCGGTCTGTCCCGGTCCGGTTAGTCCCGATTCCGGTCCGATTCGTTCAGTTTTTTTTTGTTTTTTTTAATCTGAAATTTCAAATTATAGCCGTTGGGCAACGGGTTTTGGGCCCCACCAACGGCTATAGTCACCCCCCTAACTCCCCTTTACACCTCCCTACCCCCCAAACTTTTTTTAATACCCCAACCTTCATCCTTTTTTTAAACTATAAATACCCCTAATCTTCATTCTTTTCACTCACAAAAATATCTTCTAATCTCTCTACTCTCTACTCTCTAAATTCTCTTATTCTCGTTAAAATTACGAATTTGGTCTTTGGAAATTGGAGCTTCAAAATTCAACTTTCAATTTTCGGCTTCCGGTCATACACGTCTACTTTTTTAAGTAGACGTTTGGTACATTCGTTCCAACTCACTTTTCATTTAGTTATTTATTTGTTTGCATTTAATTATTTATTTTGTGAGTAATTAATCTCTAGTCTCTACTTATTTAGTTATTTATTTGTTTAAAACTTTCCTAATCATTTTCGTATTATATATAATTTACTCACTTTTTATATTTGAATATGGATTTCGGAAAAAACATTATTGAAAAGGGTAAAACAACCATAGTTAATTCGTTCACTAATTTATCTAGCTCAAAATCCAAGAAAAATAAAAAAATCGGTAGTACTTCTCAATCTAAAACTAAAAAAACTTCTCAATTAAGAATAAATACGGATGATTATACGCATGTTGATGAAACTATTTTTAATATTGATAGTAATAGTGGATTAGATCCTTATCATGAACATTTACAAAGAAGATTTTGTAATTTTGAAGAGGAATTACCTGAAGATGATGAACATGATGATGTTAATGCTTATGTTGATAGTTTTGATAATAATGTTGATGAATATGATGATGATGAAACTGAGCAACCGTCGGCTACTAGTCCCACTCCCAATCCCTCTTCCCCGGCTCCCGCTCCCTTTCGCTGTCCTGCTCCCGTTCCCCCCGTGCATCCTAAGACTAAGGTAGAACGCGCTAAAAAATCAGTTGTGTGACAATTTATGACTCAAAATGAAGATAAAACACAAGTTATTTGTAATAAATGTAAACATAGAATGAATCATAAAACTATAGGAAAACAGGGTGGGACGGGACATTTGAGTAATCATTTAATGTCCTGTTGTAAAAATGAATTTTTGCATGCTAAAGCTGTAGCCGAAGCTAAAAAAAATGGTACCACCCTTCCTGAAAATGTAGGAGTAGAGGGCTCTAATATGGTCCAAATACAATTAAATCCTTCTAATGTTTCTGGTTCTAGTATACAACGGTCATATAGTAGAGAAAAAGATCTTGAAGAATTAGCTAAAATGATTGTTGTTATGGGTTTGCCATTTAGTTTTGCTGAAAATCCTGATTTTATTCATTATATTCAAATTGTGTATAATCCACATTTTAAAGGTTTTACTAGAAATACAATTAAAAAAGCTATCTTTGATTATCAAGCTCAACATTTTCAATATCTTCATTGTTTATTTTATTATAACCATTGTAAAATAGCTATTACTTCTGATATGGGCCGTAGTGTAAATGGTAATGGTTATTTCACTATTACTGCGCATTGGATTGATGAAAATTGAACTTTGCAAAAAAGAATTTTAGGTTATAAATATTGTGAAATGCATAAAACCAGTAGTTATATAGCTCAAACAATTATAAATATTTTGCAAAACTATGGAATTTGTGATAAAATAAGTAGTGTCACATTAGATAATGCTTCTAATAATAGAACTGCTGTTGAAATACTAAAACCGTCTCTTTGCCTTATTTATATTGATGGTTTTCATATTAGGTGTGCTGCACACATATATAATTTGATTGTTAGAGATAGTATAGCAATGTATGATAATTGTTGCACAAAAGTTGAAACTGCATGTCATTTTATTTTTAAATGTCAAGTTAAGTCTAGACGTATTCCACCTAGAAAAATTCCAAAATCAGTGTGTACTAAATGTAATTCTTTATTTGAAATGCTTGAAGTTGCTTATGAATATAGGAAACCTTTACAAATGGTTTGGAATACTCATAATTCAAATATGACATATAGACTTGATGATAATGATTGGAATGACATAAAAGAACTTATAGAATTCTTAAAAGTTTTTTATTTAACTACAAAAAAAATATCTGCACTTTATTATCCAACTATTTGCTCTGTTTTACCTAATATTTGTGCTATTTCTAATAAATTTTATAAATTCAAAAATAAACCAAGATTTGAAGAATTTGTTAAGAAAATGATTGAAAAATTTTAAAAATATTTTATTCCTATTCCTTAAATTTATTTAACTGCTTGTTTGTTAAACCCACATTACAAAGATGAGGGTGCATCACGAATGGTTGATAAAATATATTTTAATTTGGGTAATGATAGTGAAGATGATGAAACACCTAGTTGTCAAGATGTTAAAGATAGTATAAAAATTGAAGCTAGAAAATTGTACGACTTGTATAATTCTAATATAAGGAATGTAGTACATAACGAAGAGCCTCAAAGTTCTAGGAGTAGATATAATAATGAAGATGATATTGATGATATGATGGATTGTATTATTGAACTTTCTCATAATGATAGAAATGATTTTGATGCATATATTAATCAAAATACAGAACCTACTACTATTGATCTTCTAGAATGGTGGAGCAATCGCGGCCAAGGATTTCCAAAACTTCAACCGGTTGCTCGAGATGTGTTAGCTATTCAAGCATCTTCAGTAGCTTCGGAAGGCGCTTTTAGTGCAGCAAGATTTCAAATTGGAGAGCATAGATATTCATTAGCAGCAGATAGCTTGGAGATATCCGTACTATTTAGAGATTGGATTAATGGCGAGAGAAGGAGTTATGGTCGTCCACCTTTACCGACCAAATTTGAAAATGACGTTGATGAAATAATGCAAGATTTTAGTGATGACGGCATTGATGCAATGGAAGAACTAGCTAATCAACCAATTCCAGAGCATGTTACTAGAGAAATGTTAAATGATTTAAAAAAAGATTTCCTTGGTAGCATGAACTATTAAATTTAAATGTCTATTAGTATGAGTATAATAATTCGAGGTCTAATTCAAACAGAACCCTTCCTAGAAGGTGGTTGTGTAGTTTAGATTTTTTAATACTCTACTAATATTTTGTAACTCAACTTGTACTATTTAAATAATATTAATAAAAGTATAGGCTATTCGCCTTAATTTTTTTTTATTATTGTCTTCAAAAGTTCAAATTTAACTTTTAAAGTGTGAAATTTAAACTTTTATAGTTTTAAAGTTTGAATTTAAATTTTCAAACTTTTAAATTTAAAGTGTGAAATTTAAACTTTTATAGTTTTATAGTTTTAAAGTTTGAATTTAAATTTTCAAACTTTTAAAATTTAAAGTGTGAAATTTAAACTTTTATAGTTTTATAGTTTTAAAGTTTGAAATTTAAATTTAAATTTTCAAACTTTTAAAGTGTGAAATTTA